TACTATTAGTTAGTATTAGTATACACATACCAATATTAGTCAGTATTAGTGTACACATACTAATATTAGTTAGTGTTAGTGTACACATACCAATGTTAGTTAGTGTTCATGTACAGATACTAATATTAGTTATTATTAGTGTACACATACTTATATTAGTCAGTATTCGTATACACATACTAATATTAGTTCGTATTAGTCTACACATACTACGATTAGTTAGTATTAGTGTACACATACCAATTTTAGTCAGTATTAGTGTACACATACTAATATTAGTTAGTGTTAGTGTACACATACAAATATTAGTCAGTAATAGTGTACGCAATCTAATATTAGTTAGTATTAGTGTACGCAAACTAACATTAGTTAGTATTTGTGAACACATACTAATATTAGTTAGTATTAGTGTACACATACAAATATTATTTAACATTAGCGTACACATACAAATATTAGTTAACATTAGTGTACACATTCTAAAATTAGTTAGTAATAGTGTACACATAATATTATTTAGTATTAGTGTTCACAAACCAATATTAGTTAGCATTAGTGTACACATACTAATATTTGTTAGTATTAGTGTACACACACCAATATTAGTTAGTATTATTGTACACATACTAATATTAGTTAGTAATAGTGTACACATACTAATATTAGTTAGTATTAGTGTACACATACTAATATTAGTTAGTATTAGTGTACACATACTAATATCGTTAGTATTAGTGTACACACACTAATATTAGTTAGTATAACTGTACACACTGCTAATCACTTGTGAATAATAATAAATAATAATATTACCACACTAACTTGACTATGTGTGTGTGTGTGTGCAGTGGTAGTGAAGAGTGGTGATGATGCCAGCACCACGATGTTGACGCCACTCTCAAATCCACACACAGACATTGTGTGTCACAGCCTCGCATACTCTCACACCCATACACAGACATTGTGTGTCACAGACTCGCACACTCTCACACCCACACACAGACATTGTGTGTCACAGACTCGCACACTCTCACACCCACACACAGACATTGTGTGTCACAGCCTCGCACAATCTCACACCCACAGACATTGTGTGTCACAGCCTCGCACAATCTCACACCCACACACACACATTGTGTGTCACAGACTCGCACACGCTCACACCCACACACAGACATTGTGTGTCACAGACTCGCACACTCTCACACCCACACACAGACATTGTGTGTCACAGCCTCGCACAATCTCACACCCACAGACATTGTGTGTCACAGCCTCGCACACTCTCACACCCACACACACACATTGTGTGTCACAGCCTCGCACACTCTCACACCCACACACAGACATTGTGTGTCACAGCCTCGCACACTCTCACACCCACATACACAGACATTGTGTGTCACAGCCTCGCACACTCTCACATCCACACACAGACATTGTGTGTCACAGCCTCGCACACCCTCACACCCACACACAGCCATTGTGTGTCAAAGCATCGCACACTCTCACACCCACACACAGACATTGTGTGTCACAGCCTCATACACTCTCACACCTACGCACAGACATCGTGTGTCACAGCCTCGCACACTCTCACACCTACGCACAGACATTGTGTGTCAAGCTGGATGAGCGCCTCCCCACGCCGTGCGCATCCTGAGGGGGGGGGGGTGATTTGACCAAATTTCACCACTCTCGTCGGTGCGCGTTGTCTATGTTGGGGATCGTGAACGTAGAAGCGTAGAGGTATAGTATAACAATGGTTCACGCTGCACTGCCCTCTGCTGGTGTGATGTGTATACATTCGGCACGAGAGAGACAAAGGCGGCCGGGCGTGATGCTGGCCACCCACTCCCTCGTGTGCCGTGCCTACCTTCCTAGGTGCTGCTATTCACTAACAGCACTTGCCCCAGTACCCAGCAAAATGGTTCAGATGAATGTTGAAACTTTTAAACTAATTTTATTTCAGCAGGTAGAACCCACTGATCCATGTCGCTCTCTTACAGAGTCTGCGTCTCTTCCCATGGTAGCGTGGATTTTTCCCTGGCTCCTCGCGTTTTTCCCTCCACGTTTATAATAAATTTGCGTTCAAAGGATTTGGTTGCTGCTGTAAATATCCACGTGATGAGCCACTTCGTAGAGCTGTCATTTGTGATATGTCGCTTCCGAAAACAGAGCGACAAGGTTCAGTGGGTTCCTTACCTGGTAAAAATAAAATAAAATGTTGTTGAAGGTGGGGAGCACAGAAGTGCAGTGCAACAGAGCGGGACATTGCGGGTGCAAGACTGAGGAACTCACAGACGAGAGGCAGGAATCTGTTCACGACCTTTTCAAGGGAGCGGATCGTGATGACGTCCAGTGAAGTGGGAGGTGGGGGTGCAGATTCCTTTGGGATCTCTCTCCTGGGACAACCACCAACAGCATCACACACAGCCTCGTTTAACCACAGCCATGGAACACTCAGCATCCATAGCACACACAGCAAGTGTCTAACACGTAGCCCTTGTCTCACACACAGCCCGTGTCTCACACACAGCCCGTGTCTCACACACAGCCTGTGTCTCACACACAGCACGTGTCTCACAGACAGCCTGCATATCTAAAACACACAAACACACCCTGTGTCTAAAACACAAGGCCCGTGTGTCTAACACGCACATCCTGTGTGTCTAACATACACAGCCCGTGTGTCTAACATCTACTGTGTTGTGAGTGTTTAACCGTGAGACATTGAGGATCTGTACCTGCGCGTCTCCTCCAGGTGCCCCTGTGGAAGAGAGAGACAGGGATCATGAGTGACGTCTCTAACCTTGGATCACGAGCCGCCTGCCACTGCCCACTCTGTTGTTCTGGACACCCAAACGGCGTCTCCACAGAGGCGCTCCCCACCTGCAGGAAGGCGAACGAGTCCCTCTCGTGCTGCAGGGTGCGCAAGCGAGCGGCCGCCGCCAGGAGCTCCCCGATCTCCTGCTTGTGACGAGCGATGTCCTCGTCGATCCGGGACAGCAGCTCGCGCTCCTTCACAGCCACACGTTGGAGAGCCTCCTTCTCATCCTCGTCCAGAGCCTTCTTTAGGCGGGCGAACTTGCCCGTGATGCGACTCCTGATCCCGGCTACCGATTCCTGCGGAGACGCGAGGACCACGGTTGGCCCCCTGAGCCATAAGCCACTCCGTGTGTGCGTGTGGGCGCCGGGGTGGCGAGGAAATGTTGACTCCCTCGCCTGGTATACCGCAGGTCGGGTTCAATCTTGATCCTGACGCCTGTTTATTTGGAGTTTGTTCTCTCTGTAGTCGTATGTATTTTTCTCCGGGTCCCCCGGTTTTTGCCTCCACATTTAGGGTCAACGTCGCGCGTTTAGAGTATTTGGTTGCTATCAAATTCCACGTTACAATCAGCCGCTTTGTTGAGCTATAATTTGTAGTAGCCAGGTCGCTTCTGAAAAAATAACTATGTAGCTCAGTGGAGCTATTCCTGGTAAAATAAAAATTAGTTTAGTCTATGGGTCTCTACGGGTCTCTAGGCCTCTCTCGGGGTCTCTCTATATGTCTCTGTTTATCTGTGTGTCTCTATGGTGTCTAGTTATCTCTATGGGTCTAGTATGTATATGGGTGTCTATGTATCGATATGGGTCTCTATGTATATTTTGCAACTGCTATATATTTCCACATGATAATGATATCAGCAATTTGGTTGATCTGTAATTTGTGATTGCCAGGTCGCTTCTGAAAAAGAGCTACACAGCTCAGTGGGCCTAACCTGCTAAAATAATAAAATAATATTCCCTCGTGGTGAATCATGCCCCAGTGATGAGGCGCCCATGGGACTGAGTCGATCCATGCCAAGGGGGCAAGAGGGGTTCCGCTCTCTTCTTGTTTCTCCCCTAGAGGGCGCTGGGGTCGTGGATGTTGAGACACGGGCACTCGGAGTCCGGTGGGAACCCCCTCGTGGTTCTGACGAGATGTGGGGAAATGTTAACTACCTCGCCTGGTATGCAGGGAGTCGTGGGTTCGATCACGACCCTGATGCCTGTGTGGATTTTTCTCCGAGTCCTCCGGCTTTTCCCTCCACATTTAGAATCGGTGTAATCCAGGTCGGGTTTTCCCATAAATCCGACTTGGGTTTATAATCCAAGTGATTCCTTATCTGTTGTGCACAACCGACAGAGCCCAAGAGAGCATCTCCGGGTTCAAGTATGCGTTTAGAATACAATATTTAGAGTATTTGGCTGCTATAAATTTCAACTGATAAGCCATTTCATTGAGCTATCATTTGTGAAATTCAGGTTCCATCTGCAAAAGAGTTACAAGGCTCAGTGGGGCCTTAGCTGATGATGATTGCTTGTGTTGCGATCGAAACGTCGTGATATTTTTATTATTTTCTCAACGGTTTTACTTAACTGGACTCCTATGTTTGTCGTGGTCAAATCTTGTAATCAACATTTTGTCTACTTCCTGTTGTGCAATCAATTCCAAATTTAGCACACCTACTCAGATCCGGTGACAATGCATGCCTGTATCAAAATCGGCATCAATTAATCAATTAATTGGCTCTTTTAAAGCAATTAACATTTTGTATGGATGGCTTAGTTTAATATCAATTTGTGCAGGTCAAAAACGCCACGGTCCCTAAAATCTGGAATCGCCTCGCCCAAGAAGCAGGCGCCACGCAACTCAGGCGCCAAGCGTCTCAGGCGCCAAGCGTCTCAGGCGCCAAGTGTCTCAGGCGTCACGTGTCTCTTTTGTCATCAAGTTGTCGTCCACTTCCCGTTGTCCAATCGAGTTATTTACTTTTTAATGCACTTTAAAATAAAAGTTAAAAAAAAAACTTTTTTTAAGGAGTTTATTACTCACTTTATTTCATTTTATTGTTATTAAAAATATATATTATCTACGTGACTTTACCGAAAGACCCAAAGAATAAGAATTCCTTCAGTCATGAAAGATTTATGTCAAGAAAATATAAATAGTTTAGTCTGTGGCTCTCCATGTATCTCTAAGTGTCCCTATGTATCACTATTTGTCCCAATGTACATCTATGGGTCTCTATGTATCTCTATGGGTCTGCTGCTATATTTCACGTGATGATGATGATGCCAGCCACTTTGCTGAGCTGCTATTGTTTGTGACAGCCAGGGTCACTTCTGAAAAAATCTACACAGCTCAGTGGGGCCTTAACTGGTAAAATAAAAATAGTTGTATTTTAAATAAACTCCGGTGACGCGATTAGGGACGGTGTGAGGTGCAGCTGTGCGGTGTTCGTGCCTCTGCTTCCGTTCCGGTGCGCGACCTCCCGTGCAGTGCAACAGCTGCACCACAGCTCCACCCCGACAATCCGTGACACTCTCGACACTTTTTTTTCCCACAGGAGTTGAAGACGCAATGCCGAGTAACCCGACCTTGCGGCAGACTCGCCAATGCGGTTATCGAATGCAGTAAATGTGGAACCCCCTTGTAGTTAATGTTGAGTTCAAAAGTGAATGATTTAATTAAGAGGTATCACAGTTATGAAGCTGCACGAAGTTCGCTTGAATAAATTTTGACCTCCACGACTTCCACACTGAGTGGAGATGACGGGGCTCAAAGAGCCCGGCCCGGACACGGTACCTGCGCCTCCTTGCGAGCGGCCTCCATCCGCTTCACGGACTCCTCCGCCTCCTTCCTCTTCTCCTCCACCGCTCGCGTCTCCTCCCCTACGCGCGTCTGTAGTGAGAGACGAGACGTCACCAGGGGGAGACTCCAGCCCCCTGAACCACCCCTCACACCGCCCTTCCATCCACACCGACCCCTCCACAGGGAAGGCCCTCATCTCCACGCTGCCTCTCTACGGCGACTGAGATGGGGGGAACTCGGAGTGGGCAAGCTGATGATTCATTGTAGCAGCAGCCACTGGGAGCCGTGCTGGCTTGGTGGCCATACCGACTCGGCCCCAAGAGCCCATGTGCCCACAGCTGTCTCGTTTAGAAGATAAATTTAATAGAATTGTCTCTCAGGTGGCTGTGATATCAGTCTCACATCTCTATCCACTCAATTCCTTTACACGAGAATTATGTTTAGTGAGAACCTAGCATTCAATACATCTTAAGGTCGTTTCCTTAAACAACAAGCAGGAGATGTCTACACAGGCAGAGACAGAGAATCATAACAGAGCATGAACACACAATTGTTTTTTTTCACAACATGTTGTACAGCCCAGTGACAGAATTGGTCAGATCGTGTTGCGGTGTCTCACTCTGAGGGCCTCACCTTCCGTGTCTCGTGCTCGTCCTTCAGCGTCAGGACCTTATGTCCTGTGTGTTTTCCTGTGATGGTGCAAGTTGAGCAGACCAGCCTGCTGTCTACTGTGCAGTAGAATTCTAGCTCCCTGCTGTGCTCCCGGCACCGTCGCTCCTCCAGGTTCGCGATGGGAGCCACCAGGAGGTGTTCTCTCAACCTGGGATTCTCCACGTGACGCTTCAAGTGCGTCACACAGAAGGACATCTCACATCTCAGGCAGGTCTTCACTGCAGGAGTGTGGCCATCACCGCAGATGTCACACATGACAGCTGCGGCCATCCCGACTCCAACTCTGAGCTGTTCCGCCAGGTTGGCGAGGGCCACGCTCCTCCTCAGCTGGGGTCGCACAGGGAAGGTCGCTCGGCACTGCGGGCAGCTGAAGCTGCTCGCCGTCTCCCAGGCGGCCTCCAGGCACCGCAGGCAGAACGAGTGTCCGCAGCTCAGCGTGGAGGGGCAGACGAACGTGTCCAGGCAGATGGAGCAGCGCAGCTCACTATCCGCACTCTCACTGGGAGTCGTGCTCGCCATGACTCATGGCTTCGCTGGGATCGCTCACTGTGTGGCTCAGAGAGACGCTGGACCAGGACCTTTCTCTTATAGCGACGGTGAAGAAGGAAGTAAAATACTTAAAATATTTTCATTATCGTCACTGATATCACGAGACACTGCCTGGAATGTGAACCCGCGCCCCGAGGTGTGCAAACAGCAGCCTCAATGTGAACACGGCTACTGTACACACCTTGACATTTATAGAAATTAGTGCTGTTATTAATATAAATCGGTGAGGCTCAGCTGCGGTGGCTCATTCGTGAGATGAGTGTCGAGAGATGAACTTCTACAGCAAATTGGTGGCAAGATGTTATCTCCCTCGCCCGGTATACAGGAGGTGGTGGGGTTTGATCCCAATCCTGACGCCTGCTTTATATTTAAAGTTTGCGTCTCTCTCCGTGGTCGCATGAATTTTTCTCCGGGCCCTCCGGTTTTTCATTCCACATTTACAATCAACATCACGCATTTAGAATAGTTGGCTTTAACACATTACCACGTGATAAGCCATCATTTGTGGCCAGGTCGTTTCTGAAAAATAGCTACACAGCTCAGTGAGCCTTGCCTGGTAAAATTAATATATATAGTTGGCATAGTTGTAGATATCTCATGATGTCCTGTAACTCTATCTCCGTGTAATTACCCCAACGTGACAAGTTGCTTTAATGTCATCGTGGCATCAGAAAAAAAATGTGCGTGTAGGCTCCCGTGACAGATCCTGGAATGTTGAGACTTTTGCTAGCAGTGTGAATCTGTCACCAACTCTACCTGCCTCCATCACCCACTGCTGGCGATGTCGCCGTCTCTCACTCTCACCTTGTCCGGGACTGCAGATCCCCGTGCCGGCCATTCACAGCCGCACCCACCGCTTACTTCAGCTGCGTTGTTTCACATTCACACACACGGCTACTCAACACGCATGCACACGCAGCAACACAGATGGGAATCGGAGTTTCCCATGATTGTAAAAAATAAAATACACATAAAACTAAACTATTTTTTGCAATTACTCTTTGTTTTTATCGGTAAAGTCACGTATAAATAAGAAATAATAAAATACCATAACAGCGTATGACGTTTCGGTTGCAACACAAGCAGCCATCATCAGGTACAGAAGAGCTAAATTTATTAGAGAGGGGAAACATATAACCTCAGATGTATATACAGACACCCAAGTAGGGGGAACTGACACAGATAGAACAGGGGACACAGAGATAGAAGCATACCAGACAAACAGGGTTTAGCAAAATTTTGGAAACCATGTAAAGCAACACAGACGGTCGGTCAAAACACAATTAACGCATAGTCCAGTTGATCACGCTATTTCAAAGATTGCTAAATTGCAAGTTAAGTATGAAACTCAAAATACAGACCGCACACACACACACAGACATCCAAGTAGAGCGAACCAGCACAGAGACAAGCACACAGTAAAGTTGCCTTAAATAGGCAGAGAAGGTAAGGCTGAGAGACAATGGGACACAATTAGCATGAGGTATGCATGGAGCAAAGTGGGGCGCGGCAGCACACAATGGGACAAAACAGCCTGCTTTGAGGCGCAGTGGCTCCAGGCCAGGCAGGCAGCGTGATCCGCCGCGGGTTTTGCAGCCAACAAATCCTCGCAGCGTCCCGGGAGAGCCGTTTAGGTGACAGCTCACCCTTCGGGTGCCAAGCAGCCCACACCCGGCTATGCTTTCAGTTACACTCACACAATCACACACTCGCTCACACACTTACACACTCACACAACAACCGCCATTCGCCACGAAGTGGCGGTGACGTCACCATGAAGCTTGTGCCAGGCCACTCACACACATACTCATTCACTCCCTCACACACGGGCCTACGGTCTCTCTTTCTAACTCACCACTTGTATGCAGCCGTCTGTGGACTCCCGTACATGAATCTGCGTGTTTCTAGTCTGTGTCTCTAGTATGTATGTATTTTTAAAAAGTCATCTGTGTCCCACCTGTGTTTATCTATGCCTTTTCCAAAAAAATTATATTGGGTGATATTGCCTATTTTTTACGTAACAGTTTTTTTTTATCTCCATATTTCTGGATTTAGCGCGGTAAAAAAAAGTCTTAATACGAATTACGTCAATTATACACGACCAGAATAATTTGTATTCCAGGGGTAAAACCAGAGCCTGCCCAACCGCCTTTGTCTCCCCAGTGGCACCCCTCAAAACCATTTACGGCCTTCGGCCGGGAAAGTCACGAAATTTGCACACGAACGACGCATTCACGGAAGCACTCGATGCTCCGTTTTATATGAAACATCTTTTAATTGTATTGTTTCGAATTATAAAATTATGTTCCTTAATTAAAAGCTTATGTCATTTTACATCTGGAAGACTTCATTGAAAAATAAATTTCGTGTGAATTTTCTCTCGTCGTTAAGTAGATGTCCTTGCTGGGGGTTTGGACTTTCACCTGGTTGGGATTGTGGGATCGAGATAAGGCGACATAGAGCTGGCCGTGCGAGAAGACCGCCATCGGCAGATCGATTCCAACGTAATCTAAAGTCTGTCCCTGCGACTTATTGCTTGTAATAGCGTATGCGGGGAGAATGAGAAATTGTCGGTGGGGGCCAAGTCGATTCTGGGAATCAACACCGAATCGCCTCGGTTACACTCAGAGATGATCAGCTCCTTGATTAAATTTCTCGCGAGCTCCTCGACAATCAATCGCGTGCCGTTGCAAAGTCCTTTCTTTGAGTCGAAACTCTGCAGAAGCATGATGACGCCCTTCTTCAGCAGCAGGACGTGTGGTGGCATTCCCGATAGCGTCTGTTCGTTAAGAAACTCGACTGGAAAATGCAGTGTCGCTAGGATCTTCGCTCACGACTGAATCGGCGCTGTAGTAGATGGCGGGCTTGCCAGGCATCTGTCCGATGATTTTGTGGTTATTTAGAGTGTCTGTGCATTGCCTCATACACCAAAACAAGGGAATTGTGTATGGTCGCGTTACCATGAGACAGCCTATTGTTTTATTTCAATCACGTGATTGTTAGATTCGATCTTTGCTCTTCTAACCATACTCTTTGGTTTTATTCGGTAAAGTCAGGTAGGTAAAAAACTAATTAAAATAAAATAAACAATTAAAACACGACGTTTCGGAGGCAACACAAGCTTCCGTCTTCAGGTGGAAACAGTCACAGCAAAAAATCGCTGACTGTTTCCACCTGAAGACGGAAGCTTGTGATGCCTCCTAAACGTCGTGTTTTAATCGTTTATTTTATTTTAATTTGTTTTTTTTACCTACGTGACTTTACCGAATAAAACCAAAGAGTATGAATTATTTCAGTCACGAAAGCTTCAAATCTAGAATTATTCTAACCATTTGATCAGCATTTATTTTAAGAACCCATATTGCTACATGAACACGATAATTGTGATATTTGCGGTTTGTTTTCTTTCAATCGTAAAATCTTGCAAATCTGATCGTTGATGCCTTCTAGACATTTGAAAAGAATACAAATGTTTTTGAACACGTATGCTGACATTGATACTGTTGTGGGTTAGCCTGTAAGTATTGTTTGATCAAGTGATCGTGAGATTCGATTGTGTTGATACTTCTAACCATTTAATACGCGTATTTTCAGACACGCATTCCGTACGAATATTGCGATTTTAGGGTCTGCCTATTTTTAGCACGTGATCGTGAATGTTAGCCAATACTTTTTTTCATTCAATACGGATTGAGTAGGTATATTTGAATGGATATTGTTGTTGCTGTTAATTCCTGTTGATAACAGTTCTGCATATTAGAGTAAGTTGATATTAAAGTTGCTTAGATTAAAAAACAGGTTTCGGAGTGCTTCTTCCCTAAGCTCATGCATCATTGTCGTGATGACGAACTGTCTTCTGCGGTGAAATCTTAATCCTGAGACCTGCCATAATTGCACACTTAAATGTCAAAGCAAGAATCATAAACTCAGAGAGAGAATCATTGATATAATCACGATTGGTGAAACATACCCCGAGACGAGAGTCAATAATAATCTAACCACAATAACTGCACACACAAACACATAATCACTAACACAATCACACACGCACATAATCACACATATCCCTAGACAACACAATCGCATACACACACTGAGCTATGTAGCCCCTTTCCAGAAGCGACCTGGCCACCACAAATGAAAGCTCTACGAAGTGGCTGATCGTCACTGTGGACATTTATAGCAGCAGCCAAATATATATTGACACCCAAATAGATAGAGACCCATAGAGATACATAGACCCATAGTGACACAGAGACCCATATGGACACACAGATATACAGAGATCCATGGAGATACCTAGACACCCATATAAATATATATGGATACATAAAAATACATAAAGACCCATAGATATAAATAGAGACCCATATATATACACACACACTAGACCCATCGTGACACATAGATACATATATAGGGACACATAGATATACAGAGACCCGGAGAAAAATCCACAAGACCACAAGAAGAGAGAGATACAGGCACGTGTGACCCGTGCCCACTGTGCCTCGATCTTTCCTGGCCGTGACCATTATCGAGCACACAGGGGGGTGGCGGTTATCAATAAATGATTAAACCAAAGTTTTGGATAGCACTCCTGCGGAGTTTTCCTTGGCACCACTGCGTGATCCTCCTCCTTGTCAACTGCGGCACGACTCTCACCTCTCTCTCCCAACGCGGGCCACGTGCACACACACCACACAGACTCACAACACACCGAAGACATTCTGAGGGGTTGACGAGGCTCCAAAACGGCATCTGTTTCTTTGTCCAGCTCCCAGCACACAGGTGTAGTAGCGTTTCACGCGAACACTTTCAGCTTTTCTCCTGTGTAACTTTATTTTGTCGCATCCCGCACGGATGCTCCTCGCACTTAACACCACGCAGTCTTGTTCCGAACTCTCTCTTGCTCCACTAGCCTATCACTTAATACTCCGCTAGCCTGTTAGTGAATACTCCGCTAGCCTGCCACTTACTACTCCGCTAGCCTTTTACTGAATACTCCGCTAGCCTCTCAGCCTTCTCTCACACCTCCAACCTCATCCGTGCCCCCATCTGGGCTTCAGCGAACACCACTGGAAAGGACAAGGTGTGGAGGGCGAGGTCCCAGGCTTATTGTCTCCGGCTCTTGTTCTCTTCGTTCCATCAGCTCCAACCAACTCAACCCCGTGTTCTCCGCACACTCCTTTATATCCCCCTCCTCATTAAGGGTTCACAGTTGCCCGGCGAGCCTCCTGCACGTGCTCCCTTATTGTCTCCATCTCCCGTCTTTCCGGCACCTACACCGTGTTTGCACGCTTGCACCTGCCTGTCCCCGAAT